TCCGCCTCCATCGGAAATGCAGCCGCCGCAGCCGGGAATCGAACCCGCGACCTGCGGGTCAGCAGCCGAGTACCTTAGCCACTAGACCACCGTGGCGGGGCAAGATGTGGTCTAGAAGAGCAATGTTTGTGTGTAGTAATATCCGGGGTTTTACGTTCCGGAACCAAGATTTTATTATGATGGGTGCCATAGTTCTGGGCTTGGGAACTTTCTACCTCCTGGGGCTCTTTAACGTGCACCATAACATTGTGATTTGTGCCGCTTTAACTCATTTTTTTTCGTGGAATATACCATAGCAAAGTTCTTCACCACATATAGTTTTATCACCACACTAAATGGTACATCTTTTCGGTTATTGCTACGACATAGATGTTCTATTTGTCAAATATAAAATTTCTCTAATGCGTGCTGCATATGAGTGCAATTGTCCACCTTAGCAATGAAGCAGCATAAATCGTCAATTTCTTGAGGTAGTGGCCATCAATACACAAGTACCAGTTTTTTAAAAGTTGGTTCATTTTTATTTTTCACTCGCTGTATTCTCTTTTATGTGAATTTGTCATTGATTCCTTATTTTATCTATGGCCCTTGGATTGGAGGGTAGATTATTCGCTCAGTAATCAACGTTTTGTGACTTGCCTGCAACTTTAGAACCAAGCAAGAGTAAAAGTGGGATCTTGTTTTTGTGTTCTCCCGCATTCGAAATCGCAGCCATTGTATATTAAAAAGTACAGTCGTAAATTCCTTTTGCTGTACTTCCGTACAAAATTAACAATAAATTTAAATGGTGTGACCACCCTTGGCTTGAATTCCAGATGTTTTTCAAATCCTATCCAACAGCCCCCCCCCCCCCCCCTGTGTGACGTGTGCTAGTGGGAGTGACCTTCAAAATTTCAAAAAGAACAGAGGTTCTTCCAAAAACTTTACGTGCGAACCGCAACCAAGCCTGACCATACGAAGACGAAAGTTATAGCGCGAGAACAAAACGACGACGCAGAGACAATAAGAACACGAAGGACAGGAGGCGCACCAAGCCCCTGTTTTTCTTATATCACATGCTTCTACAAACACAAACCTGTCTTGAGCGACCATGCTTAAGATTTTTAATCGATAAATGAATTGAATAAAATAATAAATGCAGCTTTTATCAAAACTAGACGGGGCCTTTAGCACTTCCCACAAAATCACTAGGACCTTCCAAATAAGATATTTGTGTGTATCCTAACGCAATGGAAAAATAGGAGGAAAAGAATTGCAGGGAGGTCAACCAGTCTATAGGCAGCCGGTTCGCTACCCTGCGCATGAGTTCGCTGCCCTACGTCCTCAATTTCGCTTTTAGATATTGGTAGGTAGTTCACACTTTAACGCCACCCCTACTTTTTACTCCGGCTAACTTAAGGTGGCGAATGCAATAACTGAAACTTCGGCTACACCATGTATTGTTTCAGAGCAAAGCTTGAGCATGATGCTTGTTTGTTCGGTTCGTGGGTAAATAAAAGAGGTTGATTTCAATGTGCCATATTAGCGGACTTCCTGCGTGCATGAGCCATCGGGTGTAGAAACTAGTGTGGTAATGCACAGTGGTAACGTCAGTAGTGCTTTTGTTGCCACCAACAGGCGCTAGCGTGATCCGGACCTCTTCACCCCCCCCTAGAACAGAGCACACATGGGTTTTTTCTCGGCGCTGTAAGCTTCGTTGGCACTCGGGAGAAACAGCGCCGTGGTCAGCGGTTACGTAGGCTTTCCCGCTTTGGCTGGCTTCCCTAGATAATGCATTCAAAAACTTTATACTCCTTCTCTCCCTGTACGGATTGGAAGGGCAGACAATTCATCCAGTGTGCTGTACTGACCTACAGACCTTCGCCGACAAAGCTTCTGGCAAAGGAGCTCATGACCGGGACGACAGTAGTGAAAGAGGGTGAAGACGTAGCGAGTATAAGATGAGACGGCGTGCAAGCTGCTATACGTAAGCTTATAGGGAACAAAAGCATCACGATAACATCAATACACCTCACACATAAGAGAAGCGCTTATTTGAGTATGCGTCTAAGTTGGCGAAGATGACAGAAGCAAACACAAAGAAGGGAAGTATACGTGGACTGCAGGTGGCTGGGACATCACTTAATAGGGGGAAAATTTCACAACCAAATGTGGAGTATGTCATCGCCGCTGTTTTGCACCACAAATACCGATCACATAGAGCCGAGCGCGGTTACGCAAAGAGTAGAGACAAAGTTGGGACCAACACAGTCTATTCAAGAACAGACCAGCGGACGCGTTGCTGTAATGTACCATGCTCGTAATTAGCCAAGCAATTTCAAAAACACTGCTTCATTGTTGATTGATATGCGTGGTTTAACGTTCTAAAAACTATATGATTATAAGAGACGCCGCAGTGAAGGGCTTTGAAAATTTTGACCACCTGGTGTTCTTTGATATGCACCCAAATCAGAGCACATGGGCCTACAACACTTTCGCCTCCATCAAAAATGCAGCCACCGCAGTCAAGAATCCACCCAGTGACCTGCGGTTCAGCAGCCGAGTACCTTAGCCACTAGACAACCATGGCAGGGCCACGGCTTCATTGTTATATTCAAGGCTCTGACTTACTGATGGTCGATGTTTCAAAAAAAAAAAAAAATTGGCAGATTCCACGCACATGAGAATCGACGCTATCCGAAGCACACAGAGGGAAGGTTACCATGTTGCGATTCTTTTAATGAGCGACACGTCATGAAATGACGCTAAATATATGTACAAATGTTGCACACGAAGACATAGGTTGAAAATTGCAGCTCCTTATATATCAGTTTTTTGCACTGGTGATGCCAACTGGAACAAGCGTTTTGGCAACACCAGAAGCTGATAAGAAACGCTGATGCTCGCGAGGATGCTGGGCCTGGACACTGCTACACAAATCAAATTCAGCGCATGGCAACTAACCACAACTAACTCGACGTGACGGCCGCATCAAAGGAGTACATATGTATTCTTTGTAAAGTTGTGTCGGCAGCACTGCAACCACCTATTGTCGTTTCACGAAGATTAACGTCTGTTTGGAAAGTATTTCTGAGACCTGGCGTAGCTCAGAGGTAAAATGCTTCATAGCCATACAGAATGCATAGGTTTATTACCAACTGGTACCCTGACATTTATTCTTTGCATCGTCGGGTGAACGCTATCAATGTCGGGTATTTCGTAACGCTCGCGCGTTCAAATTGTCTATGTGTGTTGTCATCGTTTCTAGGTAGAAACTAAGTGTCAATCACCTGTGGCACATTGCCGCATACCAGCGGCACATACCCGCCCGTCGGCATGTGCCACTGTCTGACGCGAAGTGTTTCACGACGTGCGCGACATGATTGCGAAATTATTCATGTCGTGACCAGAGCATCATATTCGTAAACAATCTTACACTGCCATGCTAATTTTTGTTCACGCCCAGTTAAATGGGTGACCACGAAAGCACCCAAACGTAAGCGGCCAGAGAGATAGATAGATAGATAGATAGATAGATAGATAGATAGATAGATAGATAGATAGATAGATAGATAGATAGATAGATAGATAGATAGATAGATCGATAGATAGATAGATAGATAGATAGATAGATAGATAGATACGCTCAATTTCGCCGAAGTTTGCTAAGAAATGTTCCGCATTTAAAATATGGTGTCATGGGGGCAGCATGCGCTATTTCGAAAAGAAAAAAAAAACTTAATTTTTCGCCGATTTCAATTCGTACAAATTGTGCTCAATTGTACTCACATTTTGTTTCTCCAAGCGTTTTCAACATTACATTCCCATTCCACTCTGGGGTCGCGAAAATGTGCAATGATTCCGGACGAGAAATTCCAGAACACTGGCCAGAGGTACTGTACGAGACTACGTACTTTAACTGAAAACAATGCCCAGTCTCACAAATGAAATGTACTTAAGCACGCAGCGATGTGCCTACTTAGCTCGTCAACCTATGAGATTGTTGATTAGCTAATTGATCATTGCTTTACTAGTACTAAATAAAATTTTCTGCAGTTGCCCATAGACCAATCAGAAGCACGTTGTACCTAAGTAAGCCATAAAACGGCTTTTAAAGCTGCTATGTTCACAATGGTTATAATATGTTGTGTGCCAGTTCGAGGAAAGTAGTATTGTGCAGCATAATGTTCAAGTATTTTACTTCTACCGCACGTTATTGATATCTATTCCCTTATACTATTTCCTTCCGCCAATACACTCGCGAAGAACATTGATAGCAAGGCGTGTTCTGGTTTCTGTCAAAGACTGTCAACAAAATTATTTCGATTTTTTTATTCGAGAACACCTTTCAGGTGGAGATCAACACATTAAAAATACTGTTCGTTAGAATTGGGGCTATTGAAACAATTAGGGCATTATTGAAGTTGCACGCTGAAGAGAAAAAATAATTGTGTAAAAGTTTCAGGGCTGATCATGTTTTTGTTCAACGTGAACTAGGAATAAGTCATGATCGTTGTCAACCCACATAGGACATAGCTTCTTGAGAAGACTGAGGACACGTGCGGAATACTGAGTTCTCCCCTTGCTAGCGACACTACGTGCAGCCATAAAAAAGGCAACAAGCATACGCTTGTTCTGTCGCAACTTACGTGACATCCGGTTATTTCATGCTCTTAAGCGTACCTTACTCTTTCATCCGCAGCTATATTCACGGCATTCAAAGTGCAACTAGAACAGAATGTTTAATTGGGCCATGCTTGGCCGCATGCTGTCTGACTTGTATTATCAGGCGAGTGCATGTGAATGTATTCACAAATAAAAGGTTACTTTTTACGTCATGCAATATACTCGAAGAAAAAAGCTTGAAAATTAACATTTATTTTAACCTACAACGCTAATACGTGTATCAATGGCACTGATTAATAATGAATATCAAGAAGCACTGCCATTCTCCTCTCCACTCTTCAAGGCTTGCTTCTGGCGTCTACAAGCCAATAATTTGATATAAAAGCTCACTCGCCACAGGCAACGATCAGAAGCTTCTGCTCCTCCAACTCACAAAGACCACCGTCATGGTTTGTATCGATTCAACTACACTATTCTTTTAGAGAAACTCGACCCACAAGTTGCAAACCGCTATACCTAAAAATTCCATTATAATTTTATAGCAATTCTTACAGGATGCACTATTTTCTGAACATGTTCTGAAGGCACTTGCCTCCTGAACAGAAACTTACGACTCCATCAGTCTGATGAGTATTTCAGCTTTCATTGTATTCGTACGCTCAGCACCTTATATAGCTTAAAATGAGCCACAAATCCTGAACTGCGAGGTGTGGTAGTTTTGACTAGTTGGTATGACATGACGATAGTTATAGCACGAGAACAGAACAACGACATAGGGACAAGAAGGACTCGTCTCTTGCTTGTCCCTTTGTCGTCGTTCTGTTCTCGCGCTATAACTATCGTCTTGAACAGCCTTGCGTTATTCTGCGTGCTCTGTCTCGAACGATACCCTGAAGAGTGTACTCAGCTTAATACATTTGGGAAATACACAAAGGAATGAATTCATTATTTTTTCATTTCAGCTGCGCACCTGCGTCGTCCTTGCCCTGGCCACCAGTGCCTTGGCTGGTAACATTGGCCACCTTACTGGCGGCTACACCCTCGCCAGCAACCTTGGCTATGGCCAAGGCTATGGAAACCTCGGCTATGCTGGCCTCGGCTACGGTGGTCTTGGCCTTTCTCACTATGGTCTGTCCCACGGTGTTGGCTACTCTGGCCTGACCGGCTACGGTGTTGGCTACGGATTTGGATACGCTGCCCCAGCTGTCACCAGCACCGCCTCCACCTACCAGGCTGCTCCAGCTGTGACTGCAGTTCATGCCGCTCCAGCCGTGACTGCTGTACATGCCGCTCCAGCTGTCACCACCTACGCTGCTGCTCCAGCTGTGACTGCTGTCCAAGCTGCCCCAGCTGTCGCTACCTACGCTTCTGCCCCAGCCGTCACCAGGGTTGTTCAGTCCGCCCCAGCTGTGACCTACGCCGCTGCCCCAGCCGTCACCAGAGTTGTTCAGTCCGCCCCAGCTGTCACTAGGGTCGTTCAGTCCACACCAGCTGTGACCTACGCCGCTGCCCCAGCCGTCACCAGGGTTGTTCAGTCCGCCCCAGCTGTCACCTATGCCGCTGCTCCAGCCGTCACAAGGGTCGTTCAGTCCGCCCCAGCTGTGACCTACGCCGCTGCTCCAGCCGTCACAAGGGTCGTTCAGTCCGCCCCAGCTGTGACCTACGCCGCTGCCCCAGCCGTCACCAGGGTTGTTCAGTCCGCCCCAGCTGTCACCTATGCTGCTGCCCCAGCCATTACCAAGGTTGTTCAATCCGCCCCAGCTGTCACCTACGCTGCTGCTCCAGCCATGACTCGCGTTGCCACCTACACTGCACCAGCCGTGACCAAGGTTGTGCAGTCCGCGCCAGTCGTCGCTGCTGCTCCAGCTATCGCCACCTACGCTGCTGCCCCAGCCGTGACCACTGTCCAGCACGCTGCCCCAGCTGTTGCTACTGTTGCCCACGCTGCTCCAGCTGTTGCCACTTACGGCGTTGCCCACGCCGCACCAGCCGTCGCTACCTACAGCGTTGCTCACGCCGCTCCATCATACTACAACTACGGAGTTGGCTCTCTCGGCTACGGCTCTGGCAGCTTCGGTTACGGCCATGGTCTTCTCGGCTACGGCCTCAACTACGGCTATGGCCTTGGTTCTCCCCTGAGCTACTCCACTCTCCTCCACAAGAAGAAGTGTAAGTTATGCTTTCATTGCGCACGTAATAGTCATTTATTTTACATTTTTTCAGAGTTGGTAATATTAACGTATTCTTTTTTCTTTATTTACAGAATCTTCCCTCTTACCACTACGCAGGAAAGTCCTTGTCGTGGAGCAGTTTATTCAATGCATTCAGTCAAGATTGTTGATATTTTCCAGAGAATAAATTGCTTCAAAACACTTACTTGCCCTTTGCAGCCTTCATTTTATTGCTTCGTTTTAGAGCCCAGTTCTCATGCTATAGTTGGCCATCTGTCAAAAAGTGACAATTATCTTCATCATAAATCGGCACGTCTTCAGGTATTCCTCTTCTTCACCACTTTTTTCCTCCTCAGGGTTCTACGTTCTCCACATACGTCTGCAAGAAGTTTAGAGCTCACTCAGACTTCCTCAACAATACCTTTCTCTTTTCTTAGGGCTCATACTCTCCAATGTTTTCCTCAACAAGACTCGCTCGGAAAAAGATTCACTACAATTTTTCTGAATCAAATGCACTTGGTCTCCAACTCACCAAGATATTGCTTACTTGAACTCAGTCAGGCCCACAGCTCTATCTTAATCTGAGCCTTAGTGAGTCAGCGCATGAGTCTTTGAGCATACACCTGGTTCGTCCAAGCTGTGAATGCTTTTTAACACTTATATTTTACATGATTGATGCCCTACTTGGAGTTTTTGTTTAGTATTCTAATTACTTATATTTTGTATCTTAATTATTTTGTATCCAACTTTTTATTCCGTATCTTAATTTTTCTGTTTTATTTGGATGCAGCGGACTAGGGATATCATAATAGAAAGTGTTGAATCGTAGGAAATTTTTTAACAAGGCATTTGCGTAAAGGAAAATCAGGAAGGTTTAAATTATCAAGCCCCCCCGTAACTAACGCATCTCTTGACTTATAATGTGAGCTGGCACATTAATGCTACAGCAGTGATGCACCAGAAGTAATTGTTATCAAAGAAAGCTCGTGTACGGCTGATAGAAATATTGAAGTTTAGTAGAGAAGATAAGTGGTCGAGAAACCATTATGGAGCTTGACAGCATCACTTCTTAAATATCTACGTTTTTAGCGCTCACTTGGACGCAAAGTCATTAAAGTTTTCCTCAGGCGGACTTTTTCGAAGTCACACTCACTGACGTTTTCTCAGTCGGACTCTCTCGGATACAAACTCACCAAAATGTTACCCACCCGGAGTCACTCAGACTTACACTCATGGATTGACGTGAGTGGGAGTGAGTCTACTCATGAGTGAGTTTACCAACCGATCCTCTCAGAATGCATGCACAGATTTCAACTCTGAAAAACGCATTAACTTTATGGGGTTAGGGACCGAGTACTGAAAGAAAGACAACTAGGAATATAGAGAACAATAGAAATTGTTTGTGTTAATTATTCTTTGCGCTCAATTCCGAATGTCGGCATCGTTACCACTGAGGCATCCTGACTTTCCGTCCAGGAAGCCCACGCTCTCCTCACTCTCCCTAACGCACAACATCGCCTCTACGGCAGGTCACTCCTCGGCTCTGACTACCACTCATAAAACTAGCTCGATCGGACAAACGCAGTGAATATTGTGCTCACTTTTGTAACAGTTTCGCTTAAAGGGTCCCTGCAAAACTGTTTTGAGCATGGTCAGAAAACGCTGCCGATCGGTAGTAGAGGTTCCCGACAACGCGCGTGCCAAACTATTAAGCACAGCACGTGCCCTGGAATTCACAATAACTTATCGGTCAGCAAAAAAAAAAAAATCACAGCATATCCACAGAGTGAATGATGATGAGTGGGGCGAAGCATTTTTCAGCCAGTCCGTGCTTCCGTTCATCTGTTCGTGCGTCCATGCGTTCCTACGTCCGCACGTCCATCCGTCCGTCTGCTAGTATGTCTGACCATCCGTCCGTGCACCTGCCCGTGCGTCTATCTAGTGAACACTCCAAGTAAAGCCATCTTCCATCTCGCAACCACTGTGGCACATACCTGCTCTAGAACGGGTATGTGCCACCGGTGGCTACATACATACATACATACATACATACATACATACATACATACATACATACATACATACATACATACATACATACATACATACATACATACATACATACATACATACATACATACATACATACATACATACAGAGCAGGAGGAGGAGGAGCAACAGACCCACGCCATAAGGAGCTTCGCCCCTAATAATGCTTTCCCTTCTCCCGACAACTAACGTTATATGCCCAAAAATCACACCTCAACGACCCTACTAACGGCCATTGGCCGATTTGAAATGGTGCACATGCTCGTTACAGAGATCAACGTGGGAGGCCGCTAGTTGCCAACGCGTGCGCGCGCGATCACACTGAAAAAGCCGCGCATTCGACAAAAAAAAGTGCTTAAGTTCGCAAAGCGCACGTGATGCTTTTCTGTGGCCCTGCTATCCCTCCCTGTTTAGCCTACAGTGCTTTTGTCGGGACGAGAGAAAAGAGAATACAATTGCAGCATGCGACAAACCTTTGTAACTCCACTCGCACTGGACAGATTCTTAAATATTTGCGGCTTTGAATTATTGAGGCAATATGCTCTTCCAGTGAATTCATTCCTTGGTTACTTGAAAAAGTTTTTCTGGGCCCCTTTAACAAAAAGTATGCCACAGTCACTTTACTTAGCATGCTTCGCATGAAAAGAGAAAACTAGAACCGCCGTTTTTTTATTATTTCGAATTTTTTGTCGGGCCACCTCTGGAGAGAGAGAGAGAAGAATGTAGGAAAGGTAGGGAGGTTACTAGACTATGCGTTCAGTTTGCTACCCTACACATGGGGAGAGGGAGGGGGGAGTAAAAGAGAGAGAGAAGAATAGACACATGTCACGTCACACACACAATGCCGAGTTTCACAGGCGGTCCCTCAATGAAGTTGCTGTCAAGTATCTCAGGAGGGCTCGTGTGGCTTTCTGTGCTGATGTGCTGCGCGACCAAGCTCCTAAGATCTTTGCTTCATTAAATGGCCGGTCATCGAGTCCATTCAAGGCACACTGGAGAGTCCGGCGATCTTCATCCAATTTGGCACAGTGGCACAAAAGATGTTCAATAGTCTCTATACAGTTGCAGCTTTCACACATGGATGAATCCGCCATGCCAATGCGATGGCTTAATGACTTAGTAAACGCTACCCCAGTCAGCCGGCACAGCATTGTAGTGTCACGTCGAGAAATCTTGGATGGCGTTTGTTTCTGAAGTAATGACTCAAGATTCTCAGGGCGATGATTGGAGTTAGGTGGAAAATTCCTGTGCGCAAGCATGGCATTTGCGCGATGTGATGAAGTTCTCTAGCTGCGTCTACTCTTGACAAGCGTAATTACAGTGTGGCGCTCCGTCGTGGGCACATCGGGCAGCGTCGTCAGCGAGGTAGTTACCACTGATGCCACAGTGGCCCAGCAACTATTGTAAAACAATGTCGTGTCCTTGATCAGCAGCGCGATGACAAATTTCATTAGTACGATACACCATCTGGTGGTAGTTTCCACGTCGTAGACTTCGCACGCATTGAAGGGCTGCCTTGGAGTCGCAGAAAATGGCCCATCTACTAGGGGATTCTTGCGTAACAAACTCCACAGCGGCTCGAAGAGCGGCAAGCTCAGATCACGTAGATGTAGTGACGTGTGATGTCTTGAATTTGACTGGTGATTGATCGAGATGGTATGACAAAGGCACCTGTCGAACTTTCCGAGACCGAACCGTCCGTGTAGACACGAATTCGGTTAGCATACGACAAATGCAATAGGTCCAGTGAGATCTGCTTGAGGGCTGCAGATGACAGGCTTGCCTTTTTAGATATCCCCGGCACTTCAAGGTGCACAGGAAGTCTTTTCATGCACCACTCTGGAGATAATGGTATGGTTGCGAAGAGAATCTCCACGAGATGAAATTCTGGTTAGCCGCAACAACTTTGGAAAACGCTGCCTTTGGTCTTTCTAGTGGCAAGCTAGCAAGGTGGTGGTTAACACTCTGGATATGTGACGGATATGTGTCCGGAGTGTGTCGACAGTTATATTTGTCATGATCGGATGGTCTTTAGCAATACCAATTGTTGCTAACGTATTAGCGCACCGAGGTAGCCCCAAGCATGTGCGGAGGACTTGGCCTTGAATGTTTTGCAGGACCCGGATGTCAGTTTTTCCGGCGTTAGAAAGCACGGGCGTGCTATACCACAAATATCCCAAGAAGAGCGCTCTGTACAGCTGAAGCATAGATGACACTGATGTGCCCCACGTTTTACCAGCGAGAAATCTCATCACGTGTGTGATAGAGCTGAGCCTCTTCTTCAAGTTCGAGATGTGAGCACTCCACGAGGGATCTTTGTCGATAATGATGCCCAGGAATCGGTGACGTCTGGTATACGAAAGCTTCACGTTTTCGTTAGAAACAGGATAACAGATCATGGGCCTGCGGGTAAAAGGGACTAAGGCGCACTTCTCGGTGGAAATTGTGAGGCCTGGAGCATGGAGGTACGTCGACGTTATTCACGCTGCTTTTTGGGGCTGTGCGCGTACCTGGAGTCGTGTGACTGCTGAAGCCCAGATACATATATCACCAGCGTATGTAGAGGTATTGACTGATCGAGGTAGACTTTGTACAAGGCCAATGATCGTGAGGTTAAACAGCGTAGGGCTGAGAACCCCGCCTTGTGGAACGCCACGAGCGATGTAATAATCATTGGTGCGGCCTTCCACAGTGAGCGCGAAGAAGGATCTCATATGTAGGTAGCTCCGAATCCATCGAAACATTTCTCCACCGATTCCAATGTTCGCCAAGGCATCTAGGATGGCATCGTGGATTACGATGTCGTATGCACCTTTCACATCGAGGAACATTGCAACCGACATGCGCTTGAGGTATTTATGTTGTTGCACAGAGGTTACGAGGTGAATGACATTATCAATAGAAGAGCGGCCTCTTCGAAAACCAGCCATGGCCTCTGGGTATATATTATAACGTTCAAGGTACCACTCGAGGCGTGTCAGAACCATTCTTTCCTATGATTTTCCCACACAACTAGATAGCGCAATGGGTCGATATGATGCCAGATCAAGCGGCGACTTTCCTGGTTTGAGGATTGGTACCAAGCGGCTGGATTTCCATCTTTCTGGAACGACGCCATCGTTCCATGACTGGTTGTAGCATTTTAGTAGCTGGTC